TATAAAAGTTTCATATTTTCATACACATTCTGTGTTCATAAATCTTCAATTTTTAAGGAAGCTTTAAACACTAACATAAACTGTTTTTGGACTTGGAGAAAAGTATGTCATATAAAGGTGTGCATATTGAGTTTATCTAGTTCAATTTCATTATAAGGTACATGTACCTACCATATTTCCCCTGGAAAAAATGTTCAAAGACAATGAATTCTTAGTGAACAGAAATTACTGATATATTTATTTACATTGGGAAGATACATACAAATAATTTATTCAGTAACTTTATATTGGTCTAATATAATGTTTAGAATACTTTTGTCTAGTACACATTGTGTCTTTCACTGTAGATTCTAGTTTATTCTAATCTTGCATCTAAGGGCAGATCACTCTAACTGCATAAAACTACCCTGGAGTTAGTACTCTTCAGTGTGCAGTGTTTAGAGCTTCCTTAAACATACAATAAACTTCCTGAGAAATAAAATGCCCATCACATTGCATAGTACACATAAGAACATGTTAAAACATAGATAAACATGTACATGTACACTCAATATGTATAATGTACTTAGTGATGATGTGGTGGTGGTACATAACTACATCATCACTTTAATACTAAAGAATGAAATTAAATAATCTTATGCAAAGCATAAGGTAATTAGCCAATTATCATATATACGGATAAATTACATATTGGCAGATAATTATGAACATGTTACTAGGTAAAATGAATAGAAACCTTTTCATGTTACAGCTGTACATTGTAACTTTGTAACTCACTAAAAGCATGTATTTTGGTAAAGCATGTAAATTGACAATTACAAAATGTAAAGAATTTACCATCAGGGAATCACAAATTGCCTTACTTTAAACATTAATCATACATACTCTGATAAAACAATGTTATTTACATGTGTATGACACAATTCATACATATAGAGAACCTGACTTGACCAGATAATATGTAAAACAATCAATCACAACTTTTGTACATATTAAAAAAAACATAAATGCTTTGATAAAACACTGTTAAAACATGTACAAAACACATGTTTAAAAAAAACACATGTACAGAATTAACCAGAGAACATGTAAATCTTTCCTATAAACTTTAAGCATGAAGGCAAACATGTTTTAATAAACTGCACTTAATTAGAAACAGTTCATACATGTTGAAACGTCACAATTAGTGAATTACAAGCTTAATTTAGTAAAGCCTTTTTTCTGCCACCTTTTGGTTTATATTCTTCAATGCATTCTGTCAAGTCTATTTCTTGTTTGGGAACAGTAGGTTTTGGACATATACATTCTTTTGCTGTGTCTGAATAGCAGTGCATGTTCTCTGATGTGGTCAAATAAGTACCATTGTCGAGAAGGTTCAAGGCCTTTAATGGCTGATGGAGAAGGAAGAACACCTGGAATGGGAACTTTACTTTTGCTTTTCAGTAACATGAAAGTGACAGGCTCTGAGGAAGCATTTTCCCGACATCTAATAATTCCTGGATTCTCTGAATCCATGTAGAAATGGTGGTAGCGGGTTAGGTACTTCAGAGGTTTAAAGTACTGTTGTAAATAATTCTTCCTTTCATAGAACAGGACAGGATCTTCACCATTGCCTACATCCTGTGGTATATTGTGACCACTTCTACTGGAAGTCCTAACGGATTCTGCTACCTAAAACACAATCATAGGGAAAATATGTTATAAAAGACACCAGAAAAATGAAATAAAGTCTCTTATTTTTTAATCATAGAAAGAAAACTTTATCAAACAAATATATTAAATTATCATAGTATTTTTCATGTACCTGTAAATAAAAGTACCTGTGATATTGTTTCAGCATTGGTGTTTCTCCAGTGCACCTTCCATTGCCAAAATGCCAGTCTGGCTCAAATTTTATATGGCCAGCTACCATCATCGAGTATTCTATGGTTCTGTGTAGCCCTGAAGAAAATGTTGAAAACATGATATCTTTCCTTTCATGAGATGCAGTTGATATATATTGAATTCATATAAAGTGTTCATTACACTAATAAAGTGGTGTACTGTAGTACACAATATTACATAAATTATAACAATAACTGCATCAACCTACCTGGCAACACTCTCCAAAGACCATACCATAACACAACATTTTTTTTTATTTTGTCTTGTACAGTTATCAAAGTGAACTTTGAGATCTGTTTCATCATGCCCAAACTTATCAAAGTAATGATGTACCATGCTTGTAACACTGCTAGCTCCTTTCCCAGGATTAGCTGCTTCATCAATAAGATAAAAGGTCTGTTTTCCTGTAAAATAAGCATGTACATGAATGAAAAGTAAACAAACAGGTATCCAAATAATTAAATATGTAGTGGTGATAAAGCAATCACTTAACAAAAATTTCTCTCTGTGGAGTTCTCATTTTAAATTCATGTATCATATAGATATTAAAAATTATAATCATATGAATTAAAATCAAAGATGTTACATGGTAAATGCTAAATTATAATTGTCTTAAAAGGGTACCACCCCCCTCACCCCTACCCCCCCACCCCCAAAAAAGAAAAAAACAAAACAAAAAAAAACCCACATACATAATGAAAGGGTAGACTCAGTATATTTTTTGAATATATTATATGCCTTAAATGTAAATGAAATGAGTTAAAATAAATGAAGTGAAAAAAAATATTTATAGATCATGAATATCACCAAAAGGAAAAATATTCCCTAATTAAAAAAGTTTTTATGATGAAAATTACCTGACCCTTCAGAGCAGATACCAAAAACATGGCATTTACAAGGGCTTTTGATGTAGATTGGGCCCACTTAATTGTTGGGCATGGTGTGGAATATGGACCTGCTGAGCATAATCCCAGGAGTAGTGCAAGGTGGTTTGAACTGACTGTGGTGGGTTACCTATTAAAAAATTGAAAGAATTTTGATATATATAAAAGAAAAATCAGGAACAAGACAGTGGTACAATTTCAGTCTGACAAAGCTGAGATTTAACACATTATTAAAATAACTACATGTATTACAAATTACCTGCTTTAGCTCTTCATCACATTTAGAGCATTGAAGTCCATCAGAATTTCATAGAATGTCAAACATGTCATACATGTTTCTGTGCCATTAATGTACATATACATTATGTCCTACATATAATTTTTAATGGGTTACAAATATTTGTTTTGAAAACGTACCTGAACCTTGAAGAGCAATGGCAATTCCAGAAAATTCTGTTTAGCTAGTTTGACCTGCTCACGATAATAGTCCCTTTGTTCTTTGGCAAGCTGAACATGTTTATTGTACTCTGAAAGTAATTGCACTTTCTCTTCCTCAGCAAGATTACCACTTTTCGAAATTCTATTTGCAAATTCCTGACATTTCTGACACAAATCAGTACAAGGTTTTGTAATAACTGTATTTGGACACAGTTCCTGCCATTGTCTTTGAAATGTTCGCAGACTTATGCTTCTGTATTTCATTTCTTTAGCAAGACTTTCATATTCTTGGTGTATGTGTACAGTAGATTTGTCAGATGGTAACAAAAGAACTTGATGATTCTTGTAATTGGGAAGTCTACCTGGCAGAGGTAGGGCATTGTCCGTGGCGAATTTCATAAAAAATGTCTTGATCCTCACTGAATCCTGGTAGCTCAGTGCATGTTTTGAAGCTTTACCTGTCCCACCATGAACTCTAGGAGACAGTCCATCAACATCAAGAGAGTGTGCGATGGACTGCAACTTTTTCCTCCCTATACCATGAATAAAACAAAATGTCAATCTACATACCCGTTTTCCTTTGAAGTAGAATTCTTGATAGGGCCGTTCTCTTTCTTTTGTTCTGTGTTTCTTTGCTTGTGTATGAACACCTGAAAGGCGATGGGAAAACAGTTCCGCTTTTATAATCAGATCAAGCTCATCCTTGCTGACTTCTTTACAGTGTTCTCGGAATTCGATTGCCGATTCCACGTCAATAACTGTACTGCATGGTTCACCATAGAACTCCCTACATCCACATGTATCACTTCTAAAACGGGCCTGGGCAACATACTCCCGTGTGTCTTCATCTGATGGTTCAATATTTACAAGGTCAACGTCTTCATCATTGTCGGAATCAGATTGAAAGTTTTCGTCAGAACTGCTTTCGTTTTCGATCACATTATTATTTTCATTAAAATACAATTCATCTACAATGTTTAATTCTTCTATGAAACTAAGATCTTGGTTATCTAAAATTTCTTGTGGTATAGAACACGTACTTCTTGTCTCCAGACTCATCTTTTCGCTTTGGATTGACCGCCATATTAGATCACCAATGAAAACAAAAGAAGGGGAGTAAATCGGAAACTTCCGTTTCAATATTTTGGCGCTTAATTTAAAACCAACGAAAGAAAAAAATATCATTGACAGCTTTTGGATCAGACGACATAGCTGATAATTAAAGTACATTGAAAAAAACAAACAATTAAATAAGTGAAAAAACAAAACAAAACAAACCCGTGTCTAACGTTTTTAGCGCGCCTTGCTTGTTATTATGACGTAAGTTTGATAGCCAATTTCTCATTATGACGTTTGCCGCATCTGGCCCCTTTTCCCCAGTCGCGGTCACATATATGTTTGTCTTTATCGTTTTCTGATTTTGATGATGTTGCCATGGTAACTCAAGCTGAAATTTTTGTAAAATTCTTTTTAAAGGCTACTCCTCCTATAGTTTTAGTCTGATTGCAATCTTGCCACAAAAAGAGACTAAATCAAGGATCATTATTCTATTTATTGCTGTTTGCACGGTTTCAAGTCCAAGTGCTACTTTGTTATAAGTACAAAGCAGTAGAGCTACAGTCTCGACAGAGACTTCTGGTTAAGAATGTAACTTGTATAATTCATAATAAGATTGTAAGTAGAAAATTATAACCTTTTCTGTTAAATTAACTGGTTTAAATGGGTTGAACAAATGTATGAATATCTGGTTATGAAATTGAATTCGATTACCATTCCTACATTCCTGCATTTCAGACTTGGTATCTCAGACATTGATGAGTTTTTCAAAGCGTTCTGAAGTATTTAAAGCAGCAGAAATGGAGGGTTTAAAGGGTAAGTGTTTTTCTATTAACTTTTTTTTTTCATATCTATTTAAACTCTGTGAAGTTTATAATAGAGTATGAATTTTGTATGAGCACTTTAACTCTATTGTTGAGTCAGTGAAGCAAGATGCAGGGTTGTCCCTAAGACCTTGGGGCGGGGGAATTTCCCTGCCTATATGATGTAATCCCCCGGTTATTCTGGTATTCCCCTTCAACCCCCTGTTAGGAGAGGAACCCCAGAACCCCTCCTACTTTTTAGCTCACCTGAGCCGAAGGCACAAGTGAGCTATTCTGATCAAAATTTGTCCGTTGTCTGTCGTCGGCGTCGTTGTTGTCGTAAACTTTTCACATTTTCATCTTCTTCTCCAGAACTACTGGGCCAATTTCAATCAAACTTGGCACAAAGTATTCTTGGGTAAAGGGGATTCAAGTTTGTTCAAATGAAGGGCTACTCCCTCCTCAAAGGGGAGATAATTACGAAATAGCAAAAAATTAATGGCATTATTGAAAAATCTTCTTCTCAAGAACCAATGGGCCAGGAAAGATGAAACTCATGGAATTATTGTCAGGTAGTGTAGATTCAAGTTTGTTCAAATCATGACCCTGGGGGGTAGGGTGGGGCCACAATGGACAATTAAAGTTTTACATAGGAATATATAGGAAAAATCTTCAAAAATCTTCTTCTCAAGAACAGCAAAGCTATGATTTGTCATATTTATATGGAAGCATCCTCATGTGGTGTAGATTCAAGTTTGTTCAAATCATGACCCCCGGGGGTAGGGTGGGGCCACAATGGACGATCAAAGTTTTACATAGGAATATAGGAAAAATCTTCAAAAATCTTCTTCTCAAGAACAGCAAAGCTATGATTGGTCATATTTATATGGAAGCATCCTCATGTGGTGTAGATTCAAGTTTGTTCAAATCATGACCCCCGGGGGTAGGGTGGGGCCACAATGGACGATCAAAGTTTTACATAGGAATATATAGGAAGAATCTTCAAAAATCTTCTCAAGAACAGCAAAGCTATGATTGGTTATATTTATATGGAAGCATCCTCAGGTAGTGTAGATTCAAGTTTGTTCAAATCATGACCCCCAGGGGTAGGGTGGGGCCTCAATGGATGATCAAAGTTTTACATAGGAATATATAGGAAAAATCTTCAAAAATCTTCTTCTCAAGAACAGCAAAGCTACATGTATGATTGGTCATATTTATATGGAAGCATCCTCAGGTGGTGTAGATTCAAGTTTGTTCAAATCATGACCCCCAGGGGAAGGATGGGGCCTCAATGGACGATCAAAGTTTTACATAGGAATATATAGGAAAAATCTTCAAAAATCTTCTTCTCAAGAATAGCAAAGCAATGATTGGTAATATTTATTTTGAAGCATCAGGTGTTGTGGGTTCAAGTTTGTTCAAATCATGACCATCGGGGGTAGGGTGGGGCCACAATGGACGACAATTAAAGTTTAACATAGGAGAATATAGGAAAAATCTTCAAAAATCTTCTTCTCAAGAACAGCAAAGCCATGATTGGTCAAATTTATATGGAAGAATCTGCAGGTGGTGTAGATTCAAATTTGCTCCAATTATGACCCCTGGGGGTAGGGTGGGGCCACAATGGACAATCAAAGTTTTCATGGAGTATATAGGAAAAATCTTCAAAAATCTTCTTCTCAAGAACAGTAAAGCTATGATTTGTCATATTTATTTGGAAGCATCCTGAGGTGGTATAGATTCAAGTTTATTCAAGTCATGACCCCCAGGGGTAGGGTGGGGCCACAATGGACGATCAAAGTTTTACATAGGAATATATAGGAAAAATCTTCTTCTCAAGAACAGCAAAGCTATGATTGGTCATACAGTGGCTTCCATTTTATCGGATAGCGGTTTAACGAATATTTCGGCTATTTCAATATAATATCAGAGCACAAAACCATTTCTTATATATTTATTAATAATTTCACCTGATATTCTGATGAGAAAATATTGGAATTTCGTTTTATCCGATACAAAAATTTAGACCATCATAGTGTTTTTTGATAATCAGCACCTTGTTCACACCTCCAACTTCGTATGTGAAGCCTTTGTTTACACAGTTTGACACCAATTACCTTGACTGGCTTGAGTACGACAATGAGGGGATTAGTTACGGCTGGACGCACACAGGCACCTTACCTGTGTCAATAGTGGGCATAGTAAATAGATATGTTTTGATTACAGTTGTGGTGATCAGCTTGGGTTCAAAGATGCACTTGTTAATTATGACAATTATCTGCAATTTTTTTGGCGTGAAATTTATTTATTAAACTGATTAGCTTGTGTATGACAATTTACTTGGATAATGAAATAAGCCTATTCAATCGTTTAACTTGGTCAATTGGCTTAATATTTATTCACTTTTCAGTGCAAAATTTATGGTAAAAATAATAAATGGCCCGTTCTATAAAAATACGTCTCAAAATTCATACCATCTTTCTCCACATGGCTCTCAAAATCTCTCTTCAGCAGACAAGAACGAGACTGGTAAACTCACACACAGTATAAAATACGTAACCGTATTAAAGAAACAAATAAAAACGAAACAATTACATATATTTAATATTTTTGTTTATTTTTAATTTACAATCTATCCAGGGAAAAATAGTTTACGGTTATTAGTCAAGCATTTAGTCTACTTCCGTTTCCAAAATGGCGACCATCGAAGAAGGAATGTAAACATGTGCTGAAGAAAGATGGCAATAACTATCAAAGAATATATTCTATACGTCAATTTATTTGAAAAAAAATTTCATATTAAATTCATAAGTAAGTGAAATAAATTATTTTTAGTAAAGTCATTAAGTAAACATGTCAAAAGAAAACGAATGTGCAAGCTGGAAATTTGCTACGATGTATTATCAATACATGTAGCTCTATGCATCTATCTTTGGACTCGGTATGAAGCAATCGGCTATTCTAATTTTCGGCTATTCGGATAAAACAAGGCTGACAACTTGACTATTCGATAAAACGGGAACCACTGTATTTATATTGGAAGCATCCTCAGGTGGTGTAGATTCAAGTTTGTTCAAATCATGACCACCGGGGGTAGGGTGGGGCCACAATGAACGTTCAAAGTTTTATATAGGAATATATAAGAAAAACCTTTAAAAATCTCAAGAACAGCAAAGCCACGGTTTGTAATATTTATATGGAAGCATCCTCAGATAGTGTAGATTCAAATTTGTTCAAATCATGACCTCCAGGGGTAGGGTGGGGCCACAATGAAAGTTCAAACTTGTAGAGAAAAAAGTCACCGTTAGTCAAAAAATTATGTAAGCAGTGTAGATTTAATTTTGTTCAAGTCATACCCCCCCCCCCCCTTTTAGGGGTAGGTTGGGACCATTTATGCATTTAAGCTTTTCAATACTAAACTGATTTTTCCTTTTTTCCTGGCCACAGTGCTCAGGTGAGTGATGTGGCCCCTGGGCCTCTTGTTTTAATGCCCCCTGCTATTTCAATTCCTAGGGACAACCCTTATGATGTGATTGGTTGATTGGAGACAGTCTTGTAATGGGTAATTTTCCTGTCAAGACAAAGTCAATTATAAACAATTGATATATAAATCAACCACATCATAGTAAATACTTAGTATTGCGATAAACTCACAATTATCTAATTTGCTGCTGCTCTTTTGCGACAGTCAAAGAAGCTCTAAATATCGAGATATTTCAGGGGCATTACATTGTTTACAGTAGTGGCAATCAAAATATATGAACAATCAGTATGCCAAAAGTACACAGTATTGCTTAAAGGCTGCACTTCATACAGTAGGTTGTCAAATTCAAAAGGTTTAAAGTATTTTATTAATTTCCAAATGTAACTATTACCAGGAAATGATTTTAATTTGGAGAGTCGACTTAGCAAAAGAAATGAACTAATAAGTAGCTCCTCTTAAGTTTTATTAGCATGGTTCACCGAATGTTTTGCAAGATGTTTCGATAGAAAATCTTCAGTTATCAATTCAGATTCAAGTTTGTTCAAATGAAGGGCCAAGCCTTCTTCCAAGGGGAGATAATTAAGAATAAGTGAAAAATTAATGGTATCTTTTAAAAATCTTCTTCTCAAGAACCACTGGACTAGGTAAGATGAAACTTATATGGAAAGTCCTCAGGTAGTGTAGATTTAAAATTGTTGAAATCATAAACCCCAGGGATAGGATGGGACCACAATGGAGGATCAAAGTTTTACATAATACAAAGAAAAAAATCTTTAAAACTCTTCTTCTCCTTAACCACTGGGCCAAGAAAGATGAAACTTATGTGGAAACATCCTGAGGTAGTGTAGATTCAAATCATGACCTGCAGGGGTAGGGCGGGGCCACAATTGATGATCAAAGTTTTACATGGGAATACATAGGAAAAATTTTCTCAAGAACCAGTGGGCCAAGAAAGATGAAACTTATATGGAAACATCTTCAGGTAGTGTAGATTCAAGTTTGTTAAAATCATGATCCCCAGGGGTAGGGTGGGGCCACAATGGAAAATGAAATTTTTTCATTGGAATAAGTAGGAAAAATCTTGTATTGTTTTGTTTAGTTTGGTGATAGGAACAAATGAGAGTGAAGATTGCACTGGCACACATGGACCAGCACTTGTAAATGGATCTAGTTTATTAGTTGTTTTAGATTGACCAGACTTAACTGTTTTGTTGATCCCTGATCACTCATTTTCTCTTGTTTTTGGGATAGCATATCTTCATCTATCAGTATATTTTGTTTAATATATAATTAATATATTACTATTCTATGGATCCTACAGGGTTGTATTGTACCCAGATGACCTTTAAGGCCCTTGGGCTCTTTGAACACTATTTCAAAGATGTTTGTTTTGTTTTTGACAGAACCTTTCTTATCCAAAGCAATGGAGCGTTTTATTGAATTTCTGACAAGTAATTTAAATCAGCTTCCTGCCCAGTTGCATGTGGTTTTATACGACATTATTAACAGAGGTAGGTGTAAGCCACGTATAGCTGAACTTGAACACACGTTGTGTGTGTGTGTGTGTGTGTGTGTGTATATATATAGATATAGATATAGATATATATATATATATATATATAAGCTATTGTTTCACTTTGTGCAGTTTTAGCTCTACTGGTTGAAGACTGGAAGAGCTAATGTGAAGGTAAGGTGTCGTCTGTCTGCTTATCTCTTTATCAGTGAAGAAGACATTTACGTCTTCGAAAGTATGTTTTTTTTTTTATATAGCATTTGCTTTATTTCACAGTTTTCACAAAAAGTTCTGTTTGAATAAAAGTATGATGTTTTAAGGAGTGCAATTGTTGCTTCCTATAGCATCTTTAAAGACAAATAAAACTAAATGGTGGTTATCAATTTAAAATTATACTTGCATCATAGTTCAAGCAAAGGGAAAATCAAAGTACTGAGAGTACTGATAGGCGGAAACATGACTGCAAGTTCATGTACTGATCAGGGGAAAAATATGAATCTATACGTCCAGACATTTCTCAACTGTAATCGTTGAAGTTATGTAAAAAATACTACATTTCGTCGTCCAGAAAAATACCAAGCTTTTGATGACTCGCCTATAAGTCGGACATAGAGTTTTGGACCAAAAGTTAACTCCCAAAAAAACGACTTATAGGCGAGTATATACGGTATTATGAAATATGTCCTTGAAATTCAATTTGTTCTTGAAATTCTAAAACCATTACATGATATGAAACACACTGCATCAAATATCTTATATAAAAGCTGAAAATATTATGATTTACATGTAGGGATAAAATAGAGCTAGAATTTTTTTTTTAATTTTATAACCTATTTACATTTGATCTATTATTGAACTTCTGGAATTTTTTATTATTATTTTTTTTAAAAATCTATGTATTTATTTGCATTGCTGCATAAAAGGCGCTACACCACTGGGAGGAGTGGATATTTTTTTTCCTGCTTGGATTAAAATATGTCATTTGAGCATGACAAACAACAAACATGAAAGTTTTTTTTTCAAGGGAGGTTGGTGGGAGTGTCCAAGTGCATTTACCTGATGATGCTTCCATATAAATATGACCAATCAGGGCTTTCCTGTTCCTGAGAAGAAGATTTTTTTAAAGATTTTTCCTAAATATTTCAATGTTAAACTTTGATCCTCCATTGTGGCCCCGCCCTACCCCCGGGGGTCATGATTTGAACAAATTTGAATCTACACTACCTGAGGATGCTTCCGTATAAATATTACTCATCATGGCTCTGATGTTCTTGAGAAGAAGATTTTTAAAGATTTTTCCTTTATATTTCTAAGTAAAACTTTGATCCTCCATTGTGGCCCCGCCCTACCCCCGGGGGTCATGATTTGAACAAACTTAAATCTACACTATCTGAGGATGCTTCCATATAAATATGACTCATCATGGCTTTGCTGTTCTTGAGAAGAAGATTTTTAAAGGTTTTTCCTATATATTTCTATGTAACACTTTGATCCTCCATTGTGGCCCCACCCTAGCCCGGGGGTCATGATTTGAACAAACTTGAATCTACACTACCTGAGGATGCTTCTACATGAGTTTCATCTTTCCTGGCCCTGTGGTTCTTGAGAAGAAGATTTTTAAAAGATGCTATTATTTTTTCACAAATTCTCTGTTATCTCCCCTTGAAAGAGGGCGTGGCCCTTCATTTGAACAAACTTGAATCCCCTTCACCCATGGATGCTTTGTGGCAAGTTTGGTTGAAATTGGCCCAGTAGTTCTGGAGAAGAAGATGAAAATTTGAAAAGTTTACGACAACGCCAACGACAACGACAGACAACGGACAAATTTCGATCAGAAAAGCTCACTTGAGCCTTCGGCTCAGGTGAGCTAAAAAGCCAGTTGGTGTTAAAATTTTGAAACAGAGTTCCAACAAAACGGACAAAACGGACGTCGCGGCCGCCATATTTGTGTCGTTGCCGCCATTTTGAATTTAATATTTTATTTATTTATGAAATTAACTAGTAAAACTGGGTTATTTAATCAGGCAAATAATAAAATCCACATGTACTAGTCTTCTGCTAAAATCTTAATATAACTGGCAGTCTTTATTCCCAACATCGTAATATCTGTTAATAAATGAACATACACACACTGTATGTTGTTGTTTATCTTTCTAGCCACCCTTATTACGACTGACTTACTTTAGATTTCAAACAACCTTTCTAAAATTGTACCATTACGTAATACACAAAGGCCAAAAAGGTCACCTAGTACAAACACCTGTGTCACGAGAAAACAATGGGGAAATTAACACTGTTTTGCACACGAAGGAAAATCTTTGCAAAATATTAAATGACTTCATGAGATTATAACATTTGACCACTGTTTATATCTCTTGAACATTTATATTTCTCCAGAATTAGGGAAATTATTCCACCTTAAGATGTACATGCATATAATTTACAAAACAAACATGAAGTCTAAATAATACGTATTTTCTGAGAGAGAGAGAGAGAGAGAGAGAGAGAGAGAGAGAGATTTTCCCAACTTGAGATGAAACTAGTACGTACAAAGCAAATATTGATTAAACAATAATATTTATTAATGAGAGAGAGAAAGATTTAGAGAGAGATTTATTCCCAACTTCAGATGTAATTTACTACAAGTCTCAATTTCACATCTCTTCTGTTGAACTTAACAGTGGATGTGGCTGTGGACTGCAACGGATGAGAAAAACATTGGTATAGTAAAGATGTCTAAAAAGCCCCCCTTTTTTCTTAGAAAAAAAAAAAATCTCAGCTCACAACAAAATAGAAAAATAAATGTCTGCATAAGTAATATTAATAGCAGTATATAATGCAATTCATTATATGAATAATTTTTAGATAAAGAAAATTCTGCATATAAACAGTCACTGTGGTACCTTTATGTTAGCCCTTAATCATCCCCACCTTTTTATTCATATCCTCTGTAGATAGTACAGGTATGTAAAACTGTATTACTATACTAATATAATTATGCTTATTTATTATTTTTTATGATTAAATTTCAACAGTTATATAAAAAAAAATTAATTTAGGTGTATGGTAAAAAAAAAAAACAACCCCCCCCCCCCAAATATTCAATTTAACTAAATAGCCATTCTGCAAAATGACTAAGTCCAAATTAGGTACAAAAAAGTTACACAGGAAAATGACGAAGTCCTGAAAAGTTATGTTTTAGTTACATCTGAAAATGGCTAAGTCCAAAAAGGTACAAAAAAGTTATACAGTAAAATGACAAAGTCCAGAAAAGTTATCTTTTAGTTACACCAGAAAATGGCTAAGTTCAAAAGGTACAAAAAAGTTATACAGTAAAATGACAAAGTCCAGAAAAGTTATATTTTAGTTACATCTAAAAATGGCTAAGTCCATTTTAGGTACAGAAAAGTTATAACTAAAAAGTAACTTTTTCTTGAGGTACAAAAAAGTTACAGAAAAGTTATAACTTAGTCATAACTTATTTTGGTATGGGTAATACTACAAGCATTGGGTAGGTCCTTCTGTTTTCTTCATAGACAGAGGAATATTTAGATGCTTGAAAAGGGTACAAAGCAATGCCATGGTTCTTTCTCCAATCATATCTGATTTATCAATAGTGAGAAAATCATCTAATAAATGAAACATATTTTCAATACCATAATTGTTTTTGGCTATCCAACATATAGTTTGCGATAAACAATCAAAAATTCTTGGAGAACTGAGACTTCCAAATGGTAAACGAACAAGGTAGTATTATTGGTTTTTCCACTTGATACATAATAAATGCCATAAATTTGGTGCCACAGGTATCAGTTTAAAAGTATCACTTATGTCTGTTTTGCAAAAAATAGCATTTCTTCCTAAATCTTGAATCTTTTTAATAGCATCATCCACTTTTACATATCTAAGACACTTGTCTTTGTCTATTAAATCGTTGACACTGTCTATCTCGTTGTTTTCGTGTGGTGAAGAAAGATCAAGAATTAATCTTTTCTTTCTTGAGTATTTTCCTGTAGCAATTCCTATTGGACTTACCCTGTATTTTGAAAAGGGCAAGGTGTCTAATGGACCCACTAAATGTCCCTTTTTAACTTCAGCATCAATTAATTGTTCCACTGTTTGTGGGTCCTCTCTAGCAGTTTTTAGTTTCTACATTCAAAAGATTGATCAATGTTAACATCATCTCCCATAAATATATCGAAACCACTTTGAAGTCCATCTGTTAAGTACTTGACAAAGTTTTTATCGGGATGGTTCGTTAGTTCCATTTGTAATCTTTCTATATTTATAGGAGTTGTTGCCTTCATATTGGTTTTAAATTTACTGTCTAGTCACATTTTAGGTTCAACTGGTGTTTTCTTGGCTTTAACATTGGTTGTCATTTTATCTGCATTTGATTTTGAGCATTTGCTTTTCCCATGCTTAGGGGACATGCAGGAAGAATACACGTGTTCTTCTGCAATAGGGTAAAGCACATCATGTGTAATTGAAGTTTACTTACTACAAATTGGCACGCCCTCATGGTACAAAATTTGTCGATCATATTTATCTTTTCTCTGGTACATTTTCTTTCCTCCTTGCTTAACATCATCTGTATTCTTGCTTACATTCTCCAAACACATTGAAGTGACATAAGCTGTAGAATTACAAACATCACATGAATTCACATCTGCCCCGGCAACAACTCGTTTTAGCAATTCATCATCTCCCTTTGACAAGTCAATTAAAATCTGTTTTTGTTTTAGAGTGATAGCACATTTAGCTGAGAACAGCTTATGGTATTCGAAGAACTTGGTGGGCCAGATGTTAATTTCAATAATATGGGCCAAGTAGCCATCAAGTTCATTTTACCTCCAGGGGTACGCTGTTGGTGCACACACGATTCTCTTATAACAACAGAAAGCTGTCACAAATTCAAATATGCTCAGATTAATCACCAAACGTTTATCTGGTTTGTCATCTTTTTTGTCCAGTTGAATCTCAAACAAGGGAATCAAT